AAATGCTAAACACACCCTCGTTACAGCCTCTCAGTTGTGAGGACATTTTTACCATCAAATCGACAAATGACAAATCACCACAATCAAGCAAGAAAATGTTGTTATGGCAACCAAATCCAAGGACAATCAAGTCTCATATCATAATGACACAATATATTGCTAAATTGTAAACATCTACTATAAGTTCTATAATGTTCTGACATTTTATTATTATATATTTTGGTAATTAGATGAAGCCAAACAAAATGTACAAGGCTGCAGCAGTGCAAGACTATCCACATATGTTGTGTCAGAGACTGTTCACTGTGGTCACAGGCATTGTACAGTATACAACTCTGGAGCACCCTGTGGTTTAAACTGCAGGATGTGCTCTCCCATGCATCAGGGAAACTCCCCCAGTCCATTGAGCAGCTCTGCACACTTCAGCAGTATGCACTCTCACATGCAATTCCGCAGTGCACTCACACACTATAATCTATAATTCAGATCCTTTAACAACGTCATCATCCCTGCCCCGTCTTAAGCCAACTAGGATCTAAGCTACTGTAAGAAGAGGCGCTAAGTCCATTCAGATAGTGTATCCCACTTAGCCTGTTTAATAGATCCACTCTCCTTGACCTAATAAGGAAGCAGTTTACACTTTAAGTGTAAACTTTGCTGTTTTAATACACAGCTCAGTCTAGTTTGTACTTTGAGTGGCATTCACTGTAAATAAAGACATAAGCAGCCATCTATGAGCACATGAAAAGCATACAAAGATGTCAAAACACACATAAAGCTGCTTTAAGTAAAAGTAAAAATGTGTAACCAAGACAATTACATTTGTAATTGTTAACATGATTTACAATAAGAGATAGTACAATAACTGTGTTATAAAAATACCAACAGTATTATTATTATTAGCATTAGTTCACGACTCTTAAAGGAATGAAAGCAGAAGGAAGGAAGAGTTTTTTTATATACCGTAGTTAAGTAAACATACACATACCGTGGTATCCCTGCAACCCAATTTCACTGTAAATACATTAAAACAGAATCAGAACAATTTTACCATTTAGTATACGCTGAAACTAACAATGATTTTTTAAATCTTTTTTTATCTTGAAAAATAATTTCTAGTCTATAAAATATTTGATAAAAATGCCAATCACAGTACCCCAGAGCCCAGTGGTGCCTTCATCTTGTTTTGTCCAGACCAACAGTCCAAAACTGTAAATTTGCCAATTCATTTTCTGCCAGTCAACTAATCAAATGCTTAGTGCCACTCAAATGTACTTACTAAATGTTGTTTGCCTCAAACTTCAAGTAAAGGATAACTGATGTGAGCAATGCAGAGGTTTTATAAACCAGTGGTGCCAAGCATAGCCAGCCATAGTAAACGTTGAACGCATAAGAAAATAAGTGCCCGAAATGTCTTTTTGACTCTTGTTTAAATTGACATCAGTATTGCTCCATACAAAGGCCAGTTGCCATGTTGGGGGAACGCCCGATCAGGACCTGATTAGTCACGAGCTTAATCTTCTAAATCCAGTCACCATGATTATGGTCCTTTCAGCAAGAGGACAAGGCAGGCCGTGCCATGTGGATGTTACAACACTTCTTAAACACCTGGTCAAGACTTCAAGAACAATGTCAAACCAAACACGACTGAGCTCACAAATTCGTGATGATTAAATGATATGTGTGTGCTATAATGCGGATAACAGCCTGTAACAAAGTCTGTGAATCCATTATGTTACAGTGAGTATTGTAAAAACATGTTCTAGAGAGCAGAGGGCAGTTTAACACTTACTGGGACGGCTGCAGATGTTTTTACAGACTTAAAATGATGGTTTTTATTCTGTTTGCTGATTCGTGGGTCTGTTTTGACGTGTCTACTAGTCCTATGTCACAATCGAAGGTGGTTGGGATGAAGATCCTACTAGACAAAGAGAAGCTTTCAGTTTCATAACACAACAATGGCACTAGTATGTAACATTCTGCGTAAAGGACCCTTCTGTCGACATTCTTGCAATGCCTCAAGTTGAAGTAAAATGTCACCCAACTTCAACAACTTGGCCACATTCCCGGCTACAGTGAGGCTTAGCTGTCCTGTCTTACCATCCCATTGTCATTAAGGTTAGGGTTGCAACAACTACTGAGAAAGTATGGGGAAGTGTGGCATTTTAAAACAAATAAGTGGTTTTGCAACAACACATACAGCCTGTATCCCAGTAAGACAGAGTTTAAACTTTTTTAATCAATTGAGGGTTTTTATAATATCTGGTTTTATAAGGTGCTGCAGCCCACCTTTAAACGTTCATTAAAAATAAAATGTATATATATTTTAATGTTATAATATATAGTAATATGTGATGAAAGTTAAAATATTCTAGCCCTACTTTTCCTAGGGACCACTGTGTAGGCACATACAGGATATGTATCCCCCTAAATGCTGATTATCTGAATGGAAAATGATTTCTTTTTTAAATCTATACAAAAGTGAACAAACAACAAAACATGTAATGACACATCATTACACAATACACACCTACAGTCATTTAAAAAAGCAGCATTTCTGCAACATCTAGGCTCCTTGTTTGTGCAGATGCATTACACACAACAAATAATTCTTTATGGAAATTTAATTAACCACTGCGTAATTTCCCCATAACCGTTTTAAGTTTACAGTTGTGTGGCTCCACGTCCATTGAGTGTCTAGATAAGCAAGGAAACGCTTTCACTTCCCTTTCCCATCTGTCAAAATGCACTCTCAGCTAAATAACACACATGAAAAAGGCTCTATCTCATTTCATGCTCCAGAAAAGCAACAGTATTTGGGGAAAGGGTTTTCCCAAATCAACAGTAATGATGAAAACTATCAGAGAGAAAATAATTTAACCTCAAACAGTGCCATCAACTGATTATATACTGTGGAATGAATTTTTTGGCTAAATGTATAGATGCAATGCCACATCTTCATGGATGGTTCATTAAACTAAACTCTGGAGACACACATTGAAAACAAGCTGAGCAAACAACTCTAATGACAAACAGGAAACCAAGGCTTCATTTCTGACAATTCTGTTGAAGTAGCAGCACACTTGCAACGAATTAATGGCATTAAAAAACATTTTTATTATGTGTTCATATCACCGATGAGCATGTGGTTGCAGTCACTGAGACCTGAAGAGCTGCAACGACTAGTTGCTAAAGCGTTTGGTCGTTTGACAGAAAATCTACAAGACTGTACTATTTTCTGTGTCATATATGATGGTAAACTGAAAATCTTTAGGTTTTGGACCGACAGTTGAATAAAACAAGCAATTTAAACACACCACCGATAGTGGATCCGATGACTTCTACTCATTCAGTCCTCATTCTGGTAGCTGAGTGATTCTGTAGTTGAGTAAACAATTTAAAAAGTCCAAGTCTCCCTCTGTT